GTGCTTGGCATTGTTGTTGCTTGGTAAGACTAAAATTATCAATTTGATGCATTTAGTTGTGTCAAAGTAGTCCTCTCAAAGCCCCAAAACATATTGAAGTTACTTGGTTATTGTAATTCAGAAGATTGTCCCTAAGGCACTAGAGACAGCTGAGTTGTAGTTTACCTCTTGTATCCATGTTCCTTTATCTCCCACACGTGCTTGAAAAAATTGAAATGTGAGAATTGTCATCGGGGGGAAAAAGTGAACAGTGTGGAATTTAAATGTTATTTTTAAGTTTTAAAACATAATATGGCACATCAATTAAAAAAAAAATGTATCAAAGTTGTTTACCATCTTTTGGTTGAATATATAGAAAATATGGGGTAAACATCTACAATCACATTTGTGTGGAAGACCTTATATAAATATGGTCGCACGTGCAATAGGGAACTATAAACTTTTAAAATATATTTTGACAAAACACTCTAAATATGGAGTGTCCCCTTCTGAATAGAAGGAAGATATGAAGAGAATGTTGTGAACAAAATATTGTGGCAGATTGGGGAAAAAAAAAAGAAAAAAGCCCTGGGGATATTGTAGAACTGTTAATTCCACTTGAAATATTGCAATGTGTGTGTTTGGGAAACTTGATACTATTATCAAACATTATGAGAAAGAATGGTTTTCTTTTAGCTGACAACTAATGGAAGAAACAAAGGACAATGCTTACCCTGAAATTAGTAAGTTGACATTGACTATGCTTGAGAGCATTGATAAGGGCATACTTTTAGACAGAAATGTAAGAATTTGCATATACTCAAGCTGATATGATGGAACAGTCAAGTAGGATTCAGGTTGCTAAACACATTTATTAGAGAAGCATTATGTGGCTGTACTGATCTATTCAATAGGCTGGGATGTTTACAAGTGCATTTACTTATCACAGATGAATATACAAATCACTGTATAAGATAGAAGACTGTATTATCCCTGTACTGCAAACTATTTGATGTTGGTTTGCACACTTTCTTTTTCTTTATTTCAGTTCACTTCAGGTGCTAGTAGTACATCACAAAAAGCTGGAGTTGCTGCATTAGGTTTAGGGTATGCTGGTGGTGAAGTAGTTTCTACCATGGTCAAAGCATTCAGGGAGCGCCGAGATTTCTTAGTTAAAAGCTTTGGGGAATTGGAAGGTGTTAAAATGTCAGAACCCCAGGTATCAGCTTTATTTGTAACACATTTCAGTATTTTATTTTTTTATATTTTCCTCTCTTATATATGCCACACCACCCCCAGCAAACCTAAAAGGAGATTTTTCTCCCTTATGTTTTATTCTGTTCAGTAAGCATACCTCTTGCTTGCAGGGAGCCTTCTACCTGTTCATTGATTTCAGTGCTTACTATGGGACAGAAGCTGAAGGTTTTGGTAAAATTGAAAATTCAGAGTCACTTTGCCGATATCTTCTAGACAAGGCTGAGGTATGATATAGGTGTTGTCTAAGGATTCTTGCCTATTTAGGCCTTAGGGAAGTGGACAAAGGTGTTGAGTGTTATGTTTCAGAGATGGTGCCTGGATAAGCTGTTTCTATGGAATATACAGCATGGTTCTTCATTAATTCCTTGTAACAGTGTTTTAATTGCTTGTTGACAGGTTGCTCTTGTACCGGGAGATGCATTTGGGGATGACAGCTGCATTCGCATTTCATATGCAGCATCTCTCCATACCATACAAGCTGCTGTTCAGAGAATTAAGAAAGCACTTCTTCCCCTCAGGCCTGCTGTCACTGTTTGACACTTAGAAGGTTCCTAATGCAAAATGCTTTGTCTTTGAATTCCAAATTTATTTTCTGTCATGATAATTTGAATAAGATCAAGGTTGTTGAGGTTCAGATCTTATGTTTCCATGAACAAAATACAGTTTAGTTAGAGGCAGCGGTGTCTGCATATCTGCCTTGTAAAACACTCCTTTCTGTGGGTTTATGTAAAACTCATTGGGTTCCATATAATCAAAATGTTAGTTCAAACTGATGCTGTGCTTAATGGAACAGCATAGCAGCGAAGCCATGACCAGCCTTTCTGGAATTACAATAAATATTTACAGAGTTCCTTTTATCGAGTTCTAGTTTTTATCTAATCATGGTGTAAGGTTGAGGATCAAACCGAACTATGCCTAAAAGGTTGAGGACCACTATTGCAATATCCAATTTCAATTAACTCTTTCTTTCTTCTTCTTCCTATTTTTTTTTTTTTTTAATAAGATTTCATGATGTCTCTGTCTTTTAATTATGAAAAAGAAAATAAACAGGCCAGTCTTTTTATTATTACCATTCGGAAAATAATTCACAAGAATCTAGTTGTATGTTGTTTTTTGTTTTATCATATTTGCTATCCATTTTCATGAATATATATATATATATATATTAAAAAAATAATTCACACATCATTTTCTTACAATGAAATTTTAGAATCGAAAAATCCACATGTGATGGGGCATCCAATTGTTTGATATATAATTCCATGGCCTTGGATTCAGAATGTTCCTAAAGAATCTTCCCACGACAATCAATGTCAAACTTCCCAAGGAATCGATTCCCTAACAGAGAGATTGCTTCACTTGTCCCAATACGTAGAGTTCCAGCCAAGTCTAACAGGCAAGGAAAGCTAGAACCGCAAAAGATTTTGTCTGCAGAAAGGCTTCCGATTGTAAGTTTGGAACGAGAGAAGGTGTTTCCCTCCATTGTCATGCAGAAGGCATCCCCAAGAAGCCTAAAGAAACCTTCTTTTAAAGCCTAAACTACAGACTTGAACCACAAGAAAATCAATCTCTCATGCCAAGAATTCTCTTCTTCCACCCCAACATTACCTCCCTTTC